ATGTAACTTTTAATGAGGTCAATTTGTTAATTTTTCCTTTGTAGTATCCAGATTTATCGTAGTTGGATTTCCCTGTGCCATCTCAGGCAAGTAAGAATTCAATTAACGAGTTGTTTTATGAGTAGGCCAGGTGCCACCTGCATCAGAATCATCTGAATCTCCACTATCTAATATGGTAATTAAACTAACCATATGACACTTAAATTTAGTGAAATTAAAATAAAAAAATCATTCCTGTTGCACTAACATTTCAGATCCTCAATAGTTCTATGTGACTAGTAGCTACAGGCATTGGAGATACACATTTCTTTCATCACAAAAGTCACACTGGACAAAGCTGGTTATCTCAACAGGACCAACTGAATCAGAATCTACCTTTTAGGTCTCAAACAGTGGTTATCGCTTCTTGGTCTTTTGGCTCAGATCATGTGTAAAACAGTGGTTGTCAAACTTACAGGAAGACTGGACCTCACCCTTTCAATTTGCTGATTCAGTAGGTCTGTTTGGAGCCCAGAATTTGTATTTCTAACAAGTTCCTAGGAGAAACTCATGCTTCTAGTCTGGGGACCACACATTAGAAATCACTGATCTCAAGTTACCAGTTAAATTGCAAATCCCTGGCTCCACATGGGACCCACTAAAACTTGCCTTGGGGCTAGGATCTTGGAATCCACATTATCACAAAGAACCACATGATTTTGATAGTTTGAGAACTACTAAGTCCAAGATGAATCATAGGAATATAGAAATAAGGAAGGAACTAGAGCTATAAAGGCTAATTAGTTGTGAGGCCAAAGAATGGTTGAGGGACAGGTAGATTCCATGAGGCTTAGTTGTTGTATAAGCAGCTTTCACTCCTAGTAATCTTGATGAGATACAGCCATGGGAATGGGTTGCTAAGTCAGTATGTAAGTGAAAGCCACTGGATTTGAGGTTAAGATATTTAGGCTATTGTTCTACACAAGTTCTTTACATTAACAATTATCCAGGCTGACAATTTGTAAATGACATGATTTGGCTTTCACTTTAGAAAAGACTGATAGAGTTCAAGAACAAAGCAAAATTGTCACCAAGCTGTTTGACCACCTACATAAATCTGGAATCTGGATTCGACTGCCAGTGCCTAAATTTAGCACTTTACCTCTTCCTATTTGAACTATTGCACTATCTTTTTTCCTTACTTCCAGACCCACCTGCAAAACATTACCCAAGCTGATCGCGCACTAGGCTCGCCATGGCAATGGCCGGCAACATCTTGGAGGAGGGCTCAAGTGCTGTTCTGGCATGGTACAGGCCAGAGTGATGATTCTGACATTTGGGATGATGCAGCATTGATAAAACCTTATGATAGGCTGGGCGCGGTGGCTCATGCCTGTAATCCTAGCTCTCTGGGAGGCCGAGGCGTGCGGATTGTTTGAGCTCAGGAGTTCGAAACCAGCCTGAGCAAGAGCGAGACCCCGTCTCTACTAAAAATTAGAAAGAAATTAATAGGACAACTAAA